TTCCTCCCCCATCCGTTACTACTCCTGCTGCTTATACCAAGGTTGGTGCTGGGATCCTGGTGGTTGCGGCAATGAGTCTTTCTGTCCATCTGGTCCCACCCGCTGGCATATGGGCTCATCCTGCTGGGGTTCTGTGCTAGGTGAGTGGCAGCAGAGAAACTTCGTCAAGCAGCACCCAGCTCTGGGCAGTGTCCAGCCCCAGGCAGCCCCGATTCCTTGGTGTGGGCCGCGTTTCTCCTTGGGGTTGGCGAGCAGCTGGCACTTGTCATGATACAGTGGGGGTGCAGGCAGCCTCCAGGCAGGGGTAGAGTGTGGTGCTGTGGCAGGCGGCGCCTCATGAGAAGGTGCATTTGAAGAGCTTGCTGGGCTGCTGCACCGACAGCACTGTGCACTGCCCTGCCTACCTCTGAAGCTTGCGTAGTGCTGGGCTAAGCCAGCAGAAGCCCAGCACAAAGAGTGCCAAGGCTGAGCCCCCTGCCTGGAAACAGCGGGCTGCCAAGCACTGCTCTCCTGCCTCCTCGTCTCAGGTGCAGATCCCTTGAAACCTGCTTGCAGCCCCCATGGGGGGCCATGAGCTCTTGGTCGAGAAGTGCTGTTCTAGAGTATAGCACAGGGGTTTTCAACCTTTTTTTAGTCTAAGTACCCCCAGTGGCTGGATGCCAAGCAGGGGTGGCGGGGGGGCTAGTGCTTGGCCACATGCTGAGTGGGAGATGGGACACGGCTGGAAACAGAGCAGGGAGGCAGGGTCAGTGTGCAGGCAGTCAGAGACAAAACGCTGCTGCCTCCCAGGAGCAGGGCTGGGGTGGGGTGGGGTGGGGTGGGGAAGCTCACCGGGCTGGGGTGAGGGCAGCAGCGTCCTTCTGCAGGGTGGGGAAGCTCACCGGGCTGGTGTGTGGTGGCAGCCACTGCCGTGTGCAAGCTTCTCTGCCCTGTAGAGGAGCAGTGCTGCCCCCACCCCAGCTCAGTGAGCTTCCCTGGCCCTGCTCCTGGGAGGCAGCGGCGCTCTGTCCCTGCCTGTCCCCGCGTACTCCCTACGACCGGTCCAAGTACTCCCAGTGGTACACATGCCCCTGGTTGACAGCCCCTGGTATAGCAGGATCAAAATGATAAGTTATTTGGGGTAGTGGTTGCTTTGTTTTTTTACGTATATATTATGTATGCACTCATCTAGTACAATAACGTCTTCCATACTGGCTGAGGATTCTTGGTGTTGAAGTAAACACAAAAATTAAATACTAATACTACTGAATAGTACTATGTGCGTAGAGGAAACAACAGTTTTGAAGTATACATGTGTATTTAAACATGAAAATCTAGTTGGAGAGACTCAAATATTGTAAAAGCAGTGAAAGACTTATTTTAGCAGGTTAAGTTTTACTAAATATAAATGTTATGATCTCCCTGCAAAAAAAAAAAAAACTACTGTAAGAGGTTTTGAAATAACTATGATGGTTAGCTAGAAAGAAAATAATAATATGGGATAATTTTTTTTTGTTTGCTGTGTATTATAAAGAATTAATCTACTACAGGATGACGGCATAGTAGTAATAATCTATAGCATTTACATATTATTAGAAATTAACTTGGGCTAGACCCAAATATTTCTCATGGGTATTTAAGTCCCACAGAAATGATGTAAATTGACCCTACTGCTACAGTTGCAAAGTCACTTAGATACCTAGAATTGTCAGCACTTTCACTTTGGCCTAAAATCGTCTCTGAGCTAGACTTCATTTTCTGCATGTACTCAGAAGTGATCCAGATCAAGCACTGAGTTGTCTAAGCCCTGCCTAAGCTCCATTCTGATCCATATTGAAGCTAGGACATGCCTGAAGACAACCTATATTCCCCAGTCTATTAAACATCCGTAGAACACTTGACACAGACAACACAGAGTTCAGTTCAAAGCCCATCACCCATAGTGACTTTCATTCTTGAGCACAGCTGGTGTGGAGGCTCTGGTGCCATCCACATGGGTACAGTAATTCTTAGATCTGTGGTCTGGTAGCCTGAATTGGAGCATCTTAGCATTTGTCGTCTTTTGGCCTTTTTGTAGGCCTGTGTTAGTGTCTTGTCTGTCTTCTTTCTTCTGGCTCTGGTGACCATTGTCTTCATGTTCCTGTACTGCCATGTCTTGGACTCTTGTGCATTCTTATTATAGTGAACTTTCCTGAGGGCCTGCTACCTTTCTGCTTTGCCCTGAGAGCCACATGAGCATATCTGTGACCCTCCAGTTCAAGCCACACCAAGTAGGCTTTCCTGCACAGTTGATGAATAACATGGTAGGTAGCCTTTGACACGGGTGATGCAAGTGAGTAGCTAAGATGTTTGATCCTTGGAGCATCTGAGGATATAAAAGAAGAACCTGACTGTATACCAGCATTTCAGCACAGAGGTGATATCTAGTTACCATGCACCCAAAGCAGTAGTGGCCACACAGGTAAACGGATCAACCAGATCAGGGGAGTGTGCAAAATCTGGAGGTAAAAAAAACTCTCTTCTTTCAGCAGATTTACCTTGATTCAGAGGGTTTCCTCAAGAGACTGAATTAATTCTTTCTGGAATTAGAGCAGCCAGATTTAGATGGAGGTCACTTGTTTGTGTATCTATGGCCTACCTTGAGAATATTCTAATGCAGACCCATTGAAAAATAGTTTGAATTTTCTATTTAACATTTGCAGAGAGTAAGCATTAAAAGAACTTCTGTTGCACACAGGGTACTGTTGTTGAAAGCCAATGAATTGGCATGTTCTAATCAGGCTGTTACGAAAGATGTTTATAATAAAGTTAATTAAGTCAAAAGTTAGGGTATAATAACCTTATTCAGGTGTTAGAGCCTTGGAATAATGATGTACTGTTTGCTGCAAATGAGAAGTGTGATTGTCTCCAAAAAAGGGACACAGGAATATACAGTGTCACTTAAAATGCATTCAGATTCATTCCAACCTTGTTGCACTATTTCAGAAAGTACATGATAGTCTTAATACTGTATTTTATCTGCTTATTGTTTGATCTCCTTTTTCTCAGAGTAAACAGAATAGCTTCAGACCAGTCCAAGCTTCAGAACTGACAGCAAGTGAAGTTCCTGATTTAGTAGATTGTTTAGAGCTTAATTTCCCTTGTGTTCTTTGGGGAGTTAGTGCCCCTGACTGGAAAATAATTTGGGCTCAACAAAGACAGTAACTTTGTTGCACTGGTCCAACAAATGGAATACAATTGTGACACTATAAAAGAAACTTCAAGCAAATGATCCATTCAGGAGCCTTACATAATCATAGCGGGTTTGGGTTTCCTGCAGTTTTGAGCTTTACCTCTTTTGATTATCATACGATCTGAAAAAAGGCATAGAGTTTCAGGTAGAGTGGCTCACAATAAACCTATTCAGGGCAACTCTCTTTTATTAGTTTGAACTGTATCTACAGAGTTCTCTTCATCTGTGGCTCTACTAAAAGAAACTATTTAAACTTGACCAACTTGCCAGGATCCAGGAGTTACAAGCAGAGTATCGTTTTGTTTTAGATAAGGGGATTTAGTACATTGGGCTTTATCTGCAGTTCTTAAATGACCCTGTTTATCTCTTCTAAATTGTGAAGCTTTTAAGACTTAAACCTCAGTAAAATTCCACACAACATGGTTTTTATAACAAATTTGGAATTATTTTTAACTTATGTCCAGTTTGGTGGGGGTCCCTTTATCCTAAAGCACTCACACAGCATAGTTGATCGGAGGTCATAAAAAACAAACATGAGTTTCCATTCTCAACCCTTCTCATAACGTAGCAGTGTTGATGGGCTGTGGCTGAGGGCTGGGGTGATGTGGGTACTAAGCTACATGGTGGACAGCTCAGAGTTTGCAAGTTTGAAGCCACAGAAGAAGTGCTTACAGTGCGGCCCTATCAGATTCTAGCGAATCTGAGAATTCTGCTAAATACCTTGTCACGAGGACATGAAAAAGGAAGGATAGGCTGTAATTGGAAGAGAGGACAGAAGTGTTATCTGTGGTTTTTCTGTTAAGGGAATGGACTAGCCTGATGTAATTGAAGTTCACAATGTCTAGACCCTTGCCTGCTTCTGTACATTCAAACAATGACTATAGTCTGTGGAAAAGCATACAGCTTTCCCCTAGCTTCACTTAGCAAGGAGATTATACTCTTTCCTATTGTATGTAGTTTCCACCACAGTCATCCTCCATGACTTTGTTACTTTGGGGTTGGATAACTGCTGTGTTCTCTACCTGAGGCTGCACTTAGGAACCTTTTAAGAACTTCACTGATTGTGGAATGTCGCTGCTTGCCCATTTACTGGACTTTCACACTTATGCTCCATAGACTATGCTAGTTTCTGGCTATACACCAGGAATATTCCAGTGTTTGACTTTGACTTACAGTGCCTCTTAGGGTTTGGAGACTTCTCTTTTTGACTGTTGAAATCAGCTGGAGCACTTGATATGACAGTCCCTAGTTTTGCATGTCTGAGGGCTACTGACAAGCATTTCCAATGAAGGATCCACAGCTATGAACTTTTTTCCACTTCTTTAATACTACAGTTCCTACATTTATTTACCTTTTTAAGGACATAGAAATGCTTATCTATTTATTTACATCTTGTCTCAGTGTGAAAATACACCAGTATACCCATAGCTGAATGTTTCATGATAGCTCTGCCTGTCAGACTCTCCCGGGTGAAAAATATGTGCATGAATATACGTGACTTTATTCACTATTAATTATTTTACTTTGGAATAATTATTCTGCCATAGCTATACCAGTTGGCTTACATGTGTGGACATACTCTTAAGCCTTTTCTGAGTTGAGCTCAGGAAAGTTCTCTGTGTGTTGGGAGGAATATAGGTTTTGGGGGGCAGACTATGGTTGGCACGTTAATCTAGAAAGATTTGTGTGGGTACCTAACTCTTCTTAGTAGATTTACCAAAACTGAAAATAAAGTATTGGTAATTAACATTAAATAGAAGATTGCTTACTATCATACATTTTATTGCAGGAATGTACCCCGGAAAACCTAGAATTGAAAAAGAAGATTTTTGGTCAGTTAGATCTTATGGTCAATGATGACATCATCATAAGCAGCTCGACTTCCTGTCTTTTACCTACCAAATTGTTCACTGGCCTTAAACATGTTAAGCAGTGTATCGTGGCACACCCTGTAAGTAGTCTAACATATTTTGTTCTTTGCTTCAGTGGCCTATAAGTTTAAACTGAGTTTTAGTTTTAATGACTCTGTCCTGCAGAGGGAAAGAAAAGAAGTGTTTGAGTACTGAATGTTATGCATTAGGATCATGAAGCACTGCTTTTTTTTTTTTTTTTTGACTGAGCTAGTTCTCCTCCTCCTCTCACCCTAGGGGGGATGGGAGAAGCAGGAGACATGCAATATATCAGTCTGGGCAGTCATCAGGGACGTCAGAACAGAGCACTACCTTTACTTTAAGGTTTCTCTTACACCTGTTGTTCAGCATGAAGTACACTGTGGAATTAATAAAATGCTCAGTGCCAAAGGCTAGGTCTACCCTGCTTTGTGGCAAGCTTAGGAATGCTGCCAACAAGTGTCCCCACCCATTGACTCCCACTCTGTGTAGGGCTCAGAAATTAAGTAGTGTAGGCTGGTTTGACATGGTCTTGAGCCACGTGCCCAGAGCCACCGTAGAGCTCCGACTCGGGCATGCTTACCCCTAAACCAACTGCACTGCCTAATTTATGGGCATTGTGGTGTGCTGAACAGCAGTGCATCATCAGGGTATGCTTCTGATGGTACTCCCCTGCTCACTATAAAGGCAGTGAAGATATGTGCGGCACCCCTTGTAGCCAGGCTTGATATAGCACCCTTCTAATCAGCTTTGTCCCTGTCTGTTGTTTTAATTCTGACCTTTTTCTGGTGTAACAAAGTTCAACCCCAAAACCAGAGTCTGGAGGGTTGTAGCCTTTGCCTGGGGTTCAGAAGTGCTTGGCCTCTATGGACAGGGTCACTACTTCCCCTTTTAGGGAAAGGGGACCCACACAGAGCCCTTCTCCTTTATTGGCTCCAGTCCAGTTACTTCTGGTAAGCAAAAAAGAGAGGACATATTTTTCCCCTGAGCTGCTTCCTGACTTCTGCTCATCAGGCTCTCTATACGTTGTTCCCTCACAGTTTCCTCCTATTCTGTGAGTTTTTCTGCTTGTCCATCATGTTCTGCCTGGACTGCACTCTGTTAAAGAAGCTGATTCCAGTGGGCTCATTGTCACAGCTGAGGAAGTAATTTCCCCTAATTAGCTGTTTTTAGTCATGATGTGCAGTGATTGTTCTTGAGCCAAAAGCATTATCGTGCTTTTTGCTGGCACTTTATATTCAAAAGTGATTTTTGCACTCTGTCTTGGGCCATTTTCCTCATGAAATCTCAATATAACAAAAAATTGAGTGAAGCTGTGAGCCAGGGAATCTTTTCTGTTGTCTTTTTCTGTATCTGCCACTGTTATGTAGCATTTTCATTGCAATGCTCTCCTTTTTTAATGTGTGCATTACTGATATCTTGAGCAAGGGAAAGGACAAGGCAGAGGAGAGGCAGAATGAGCATGAAGCAGCTTGGGAAACAGGTTATATAAAAGGGACAGTTGCAACCAGTGGTTTGGATACAACAGGGAAATAAAACATAAAAGTTTTCAACTCTGGCAGAGATGCCATTTTGTGTTTTCTGGGAAGGGAGGCAGTTAAATGCTAAGCAGGCAGAGAGACCCCTGGCTCCACTCAGTGTGATGGCAAACAGCTGACACACAAAGAGTAGTTTTAAATCCCACTTTTCAGGGTGATTGTGATACAGTGCATAGATTCATAGATGTTGGGTCGGAAGGGACCTCAGTAGGTCATCAGGTGCGACCCCCTGCCCTGGGCAGGAAAGAGCGCTGGGGTCAGACAACCCCAGCAAGGTGCTTGTTCAGTCTCCTCTTGAAGACCCCCAAGGCAGGGGGGAGCACCACCTTCCTTGGAAGCCCCTTCCAGATTCTGGCAAACCTTACTGTGAAGAAGTTCTTTCTGATGTCCAACCTAAATCTGCTGTCCATCAATTTGTGGCCATTATTCCTAGTTACTCCAGGGGGTGCCCTAGTAAACAGAGTATATCCTGTTCCATGCTGCCATGGAACTACATGTGCCTCTGGCAGCTGGGGGGGCATGGTGGTGGCAGGAGCACAGCAGTGTAAGTAGGGGAGCCCCACAGACACGGCTGGCACTGTCAGCAGTGGGGAGGGCAGGGGTGGTGAGCACTGACCAGGGGTTGGCGACCGCCCACAGACACTGGCAGCAGTGTCAGTGGCGGGGTGGCGAGCAGTGACCACCCACC